ATTCGCACCAATCCGAGAAAAATAAAGTTTTGTTTTGATGACCGAAAAGTTATTCCTATTTCCAAGTAAACACATATAATCTCATAGTGATAGCAATGTTTAACATATTTAGCAGGGTTTTAATCATACAAATGCAAATCGCTAGCTTTCATGCTAAAAAATACTGGTTTTTGAGTCAAAAGTTATTATACGTCGTTTGGTGGCCCCTATTGTTACTTAAGTCAAAGTGTATTTACCAGGATATTCGGGAGAATTATCAATTACGTCTCCTTACGTGCAGCCCATTCATCATTTTAGGACCACCGAAATCATCTTAGCAACAAACAGTTCGATTTATTCACTTTAATAATGAGAAAGCGAAACGACGAACGTACACTTTTTACGGGTTTCTCAGCGCTGTTACATAAGTCAAACGGCATCTCCATAGAAATTGGGTGACTTAAGTAACATCGAAAACTATTTTGATCGGAAGGTGATTACGTCAAAAAGCAATTTGGCTGGCAAATAAATTTAAAAATGGGATTTGATCCTATATTCGGACAGTATATAGTGTAATAGCAGGAGAATCGATTGACACTGATAGCTCGACTTTGTTTACCTTTGTTACATTCGACGTAATGAAAATTTGCTCTTGAATTAACATACTATTGATTTTAAATAAAACTTTTTTTTTAAAGGATTCGATTATTTTAGGCTCTATGGAACATCTTTTGTTCTTGTACTTTTTTTCGAAAATATGTTTGCATCAAGGGGTTGGTCACTCCGCACAGTGTGCCAAAAATACAAACGGACACACCTGGGCACTTTTATTGGCACCTATGGTTAGCAATTTTCACGATATTTAAAGTTACTGGCAACACTGTACTATATCTGCGCCTGCTCTGTGCATATGTCAAAATGAAAATCATTGTTGTTAACACAATCCGATTTTTGATTTCATAACTTCAACCGTAAATTTCCTCACAGCGAGGATGAGCGAGGTCATCAAGGCGATGGCCTTTGCCAAGTACAACAGTAATCTGGGGGTCTTACTGGAATTCTTCCGGATGGTACTGGGGTCGCTACCGGAAGGCTTCGAGATCGGAGAACCTCCACTCAAGACGATCGAACTGTTCGAGGATCTGGTGCGGAAGGCTTTGGTGTTTCAGTACAGTTTGATCGAAGTTGGGAAGTTGCGGAAGCTGATTGAAAAGATGAAGGAACTGCTACTGGTCATAATGCCGATTCAGAATTTGATTAGTGAGGCTCTGAACCATTTGGTGGATTATTTTAACTTTTGGTTAAAATTTGACAGATGGAAAGTTATCGATTAACCCTGCTATCCGAGCGTGGTTACTTCTGACAGACAAGAAGTTAAATTTTGACAACCTTGGCTAAGTTCTTCTCGAAAACCGGTCGATCGACAGCACAGGGATTTTCGAACATAGAAAATAACTTTCGAAATGTCACTTTTAACCACGAGTTAAATTTAACTCGGCAAATGGTTCACAGCCTGAGTTGATTAGCGGGGAGATGGAAACCCTGAAGGAGGAAGTGAAAGGAACGTTGAAGATGGTGGTAGATCGATTTGTGGCGGGGAGATTCGTGACGGGGCTGAAATCACAGCCGGAGGAGGTTACGGCTGTGAACCATTTGCCGAGTTAAAATTAACTCGTGGTTAAAAGTGACATTTCGAAAGTTATTTTCTATGTTCGAAAATCTCCGTGCTGTCGATCGACAGGTTTTCGACCCACCGTTGTCGAAATTTAACTTCTTGTCTGTCAGAAATGACCATGCTCGGATAGCAGGGTTCATCGATAACTTTCCATCTGTCTGAGCCTAAGCGGAATGGATCACATCATTCGAGCAGTTTAAAATGACGTTTCCTACCACTCGAACTTCAGCGTTGAACGATATTTTAATATTTTTTTCTTCTACAACCTCGAGAAAATAGGGTCTTATTTGTAAAACGCTTGAAAAATCTGGAATTGGTTGTTTCATTTCCGTAAAATCGCTGGTAGAAGGTCGTCCCAAAACTGCTCGACAATATGATTAATTGTAAAATGTTTATTGGTGAGTTGTTGGGCTTAAAGGTGAGCTCCTGAAAGTTGACATCGGTGAGTTGGTTGAAGAATAGGTATAGCTCTTAGACACGACTCTGGTGGCTTAAAATAGACTATTTAGGCTTTGCGGAGAAGAAGTCGTGGGGAAGTGTAAAGAGACCGGTGTTTTCCATGGTGCCAGCGATTGGAGCAGTTCGCAGCATTTTAACATCGCGGTAGAACCAACAATCAATACGAAACTAACGATTTTAAATTGGCTCACCACTTTAGTAGCCTATTGGTCCCAAGCAAACGATTAGCGTACCCTATTCTAGTTGAAATTCTATTACTACACTATGTTTGTTTTGATTCGCTATGAAAGTTTGACAGATAACATCAGGGGTGTGTGGATTCATGCAGAACATGCAGGGGTGAGTGAAATAGCTTGGGACTGCTTGGGACCGTTGTTCTGGTACTGAGTGAGCCAAAAATAATAATGATTTTCTTCGGGACCCAGTGGTCTTAGAGTTACCTCTATGGTAGAACATCGTAGAACTGATCCGAACGCAGCTTTTCGAACTCTATAAGGTACGAATTTATTATGGAATCCGAGCCGCACAGAAGGTCGTAAAGGGATCGGTGTCCATGCAAAGATCACCATCTGGCTGTAGTAGTTTTATCAGTGGTCGACAGCACCTCAGCTTTTACAGTTGTTCTCTGGCAGGCACTGCTTTTCACCAGAGACATCATGCTTCTCTCCATTTGTCCGATCGTTGGATTATCTTACCGTATGGAAATATTAAACCCCACCTCCACCAGGGAAGTCTGATTCCGGTTGAAACTCCCACTAGAACGCTGGCGACGCATCTTTGATTGACTCCTCCCGGGAGCGTTTATCAGAATCTGAAGATCATCTGGACCAGTTTGCTCTGATGATGCACACCCGCTACGTCTACTTACCAGCGTCACCTGTGGCCTGTGGTTAAACCGAGTCCTCATCATACTCCAATCCAGTAGAAGTTATTGTCCTGTCGGAAATTGAGAACATTGGGGCTTATTACGGATGTCACTTCACGGTGAAAACTTGTCACTTGTCGTCATGGTGAAGTGATTCCAATTTGATTTGTACGGCAATCACGGCTCTTGTTCTCAATATCACTTCCTTATCACCGTGTAGCGACACCCGTAATAAGGCCCATTATCGCTCCAAGCTTCGATTCGGTGGCTAAGGCCGTTGCTTATTAGGTTCAGTGTAGTCCTTTTCCGATAGAATTTGGGAGCAACGAACCCAGATTCACGACAGTTAGGATCTGGGATAGGATACCACTGCTTGTTTTTTTGTTACAAAACCAAACATGTGAACTGTCAAATTAACCGAGTTGCCAAACATACCATTATACAAACAAACAAAAAATGAGTCTGATGACACTCTCAGCACTGCCGGCACCCGTGAGGCACACTGAGAAAAAATTTGGCGCAAAATGCGTGTGCAGAGTGACCACCCCTTGGTTTGCATCTCAAAACCACCAAAAACCTCCTGGCTAGTAAAGGGTTAAAGCAACAGTTAAAGTAAGGCTCAGAAAAAATAGAACTGAAACGGTTTTATTTAAGGTACCAATGGTATTGGAAAGTACATTTTCAAAAAAAAGTTCTTTCGCAGTTCTTCAGAGAAACAAATCGCGAACGAAATGATAATAAAAGTTCCCGAACGAGTTATGCGAAACAGTTCTGCAAACGATTCCGAAAGAGAATTCCGATTTCGCTCTCTCAACCTATTTTACAAAATACAAATCGAGAAATGGGCTAGCTGAGATTCTTGTCTCCTATGTCATGCTTCGTCGTGGAGTAGGTTGAAATTATCTCGCTTTTTTGGTCATTCTGCTGATTCTTTTTCTATATTGGGTGTTATACCTAGGCGTCTGACACAGTAGGAAGAAGTGTTAGTTAGTTTACTAAAATGAACTATGCTCATTTTGTTATGGCAAGTTTTGCTATAAGAAATGCTCCTCGTGTCTATTAGCGAAATTCACATCAAAGATTGATTAATTTGCGTAGGAAATCAGTTTGGCACGGCATTTGTTACCAGCATACACCTTCCGGTCGTATGGCAAAATAGTGAACTTTTCGTGAACATTAGCGGTAGAGAACTCACCAACACTGGGAGACCATGAGTTCCTGCCCACCTATCATAAAAACATCTCGGTGTTATGCTTTATGCATGATATTTAGGTTGCATACATGTAGGAGATACCTGTGCGATATAATTGGTAGAAGTATACATTTAGGATGCATTTAATACATATTTATAAGGTTCTCACTTTCTGTAACTCTTGTTTTACGTTACTAATAACTTCAAAGGCTGCTCACGATTTACCAATTAAAAAGTTCCCGAGTCTATAGGGTAGAGCGCTAATTCATCGTAATCGCCCATTTCCGTTCTATCGAGCACAAAACATCAATAATATCAATGATTTCACCGTGCACAAATCAATGTAGCTCATAAGCTATAAAACAAAGCCTATACGAGCGCGAATATTACACATTCAGCGGAATGACCTCTGTGCAGCTGTTTGGATGTAATATTCAACAACTTTTATGTGTACCTCAGGTTGAGGTTCGCACTGACAAAAACTTCGGTTTCGCGGATAATAAACGAATTCGCTAATAGTTCGCGATCTATCTCATCACATATCTGGAACGAAAAGTTGTGCAAGGAAGCTAGAGCAAAAAATATCTTTTAACATACGCTCTCTCTTGCACGTGAGTCAAAGTGGGAGTGATACTAGTTCCTCTCAATCTCAAACAAGAAAGTTCACGTAACACTTTGCGAAGTTCCCTTCGATAATTTCCCTATATTGAAAACACCTAGCTTGCGATAATGAACTGTTGGCGATATTTCCAACACTGCGGGTCAGATCAAAGAAAAGAAAAACGAAGGCTGGTATCGTAAACGTTTTACCATTTAATTGGAAACCATAATCATCTCTAAGGCACATCGTTAAAATCTCCACCTAAAAGCACATATCACTGCGTCCCCTCCCGCATTACTTTGAGGACAGTTTCCCTCACAGCTGATGCGGTAGGCCGCTTAAATCTTTCCCGTAAGCACCAATTCGACAGTTCCAACAATTTCCGACCGCTAATCAACCAGCTGCGCAGTTCCCCTTCCGATACTCTACGATCTACCAAAGCCTCCAAATCAGCTCCTCTCGCAGTAACACGTTCTATTAAATCTCCCTCGCCATCCGGTATCATCTCGGACAGCACTTCCTCGCCGGTCACTACTTCGGCCAGCACAACTCCATAGGAGTAAACATCCAGGGCTGGTGTAACCGTACCTCGCATGGCTTCCGGAGAAATGTACGGACCCGTTCCCATTACTTCCGTTGCCGTCATGCTGTTGACACGTTTCACCAGTCCAAAGTCGCACAACTTGGCTGTGGCTCCATGCAGCAAGATGTTCGCAAGGGTTACGTCCCGGTGAACGACTTGCACCAATGGACTGTGCAAATATTCGATAGCGGCGGCAATGCCCAGTAGATAGCTAAGTCGTTTAGAAACCGGCAGCTGCAGTTGACTTCGTCGACTTCTTTCCAGGGCTCCTCCCAGGGTGCCATCAGGAAGGTATTCATAGACTAAACAGAGTGTGCTATCTTCTGAGAAACCAAGTAACTTCACTATATTCGGATGGTTGTGCTTGGAAAGAATTTCGCGTTCCCTATCAAACTTCTCCCTATATTTGTAGTTGGATGGGAATAGGCACTTCACTGCGGCCAATGGAGTATCCGAGGTGAGATTTAAGGCAAGAAATACCTCACCGAATCCACCAGTGCCTAATATTCGTCCATCCGGCTGAGAAGGGTTTCGGTTCGTAAACTGGCGTTTGTCGAAGTCTGCAGTCGCGGACTGCAGCGACCTGTACGGGAAGTTCATCAAAGGAGGCACAGGGACGATAGGCGTTGAAGAAAATAGCATCATATTTGCTGACGGGACGTTTGACATGCTTCTGCTTTCCATTTGTTCGGTTGAGTACGATGCACTCGATTCACTGGTGGTAAGCACTTCCGATTGGCCAATGACGGCGCTCGATGAAACCGATGAGTGGTTAAGCAGAGCGGAAATGGCAGGCATTCTAAAATTGAACAATCTGTTAGAATATAAAATGCATTGGAAAGCACAAAACAATCTGATTACCCGACAGCCACCTCTTCACTGTGTTCAGCGCCACCAAATATCGAAAGATTAGGCAATTCTCCAGTCTCGTGGATCGTGGGTAATATTGCTGGCAACATCCTAGAGATATGTTCACTAATTATTGAGCTGGAACTACTGCTATCGCTTGAACTATCCGAAGTTGACGAAAGTGTGTTGCCCAAAATCGACAGCATTGGAATGTCGTTAACGCCAGAAGGACCGGCCTGCACTTCATGTTCTCCAGGTCTCAACAAGTCGCTTAACATAGGCATAACTCCATGGCACACGTCGTTGTTATCACTTCTGGAGAAAACCGGTAACGATCCTTCGATGATCGAGTCCGGGACAGCCAGAGGAGGGTTGACTATGTCTTCCCGCTTCGTTGGCAGTTGATAGTCCAGATTATTTACTACATTAATCGATACATCTCCATTTTGCAGAGCCGAGGTATTCGGATAGGATACTTCGTCCAATTGTTCCTGGACTATTCGGTTCATTTCCAGATGTAAATCGATTGGAGCTGCTGGACCACGTTGAGGCCGTTCGGGTTTAGGGATCTTCAAAAGCTTTGCTATGTGATCAGCTGCTCGGTACATACCGCCCTTAACGACTAGAGTATACAGATGGCCCAAAGTAGGGCGTTCCCCTTTTTGACCGGATGTTCCCCACTCATCCAGAAGCAGACGAGCCCGGCGAATGTTCTCCGCTCTGCCGTACTCATCAAGTTCACTGAAAAAGATACATTAAACAACAACTTCATATCATAGGTACTGGACTGAAACATATGCGTTTGGAATTTCCAACGTCATAAACGTAGACACGCAAGCAGGGGTATCTTAATCCCTATTCTTCACGACGACATGACTCACCTTTCTTGAGTGCCGTTGTACTTTAGTGGGTAGGCGCCGTCTGGTCGTTCGATGTCTGCGATCCGTTTGGGGATTAGGTAGAACAATGTACGCCAATCATCTTCCAGCACACCGACCAGCCCGTCCAGTTCGAACTGCACCTGTCGGATCTCCGTTGTGGGGGTGTAGCTTGTCATGACTATTTACCCTACTATAAGCACTAACCGAAGCGCACTAGTACCGCGTTTAGGAGAATTAATATAATTCCCTACACCTATTTGTAAATAATGCACAAACGCTTTAAATGTGTACGAGTAGACTTTGCGAAATAATAATTTAAAAAAATATAATCATATTTACCCAGTCGAATAACAACAGTCTTCGCGTTGTTATCGTTGTTTTGACTGTCAGTAGTAAGGGCATTCGGCACTTCAGTCGAAAAGAGTGATTTTGAATGAGCAGAACCAGGGATGCCAGATGAAATTTTCAAAAAAATCTGCAGAGATGCTTTGAAATGTCTTGCGTAACTTTTCAAACGGACGTCATATGTGATTTTTTTTCTATATGAAGCATGAATTTCGAAGTAAAATTGTTATTTTATCCATGGTGGGTATCAGGCTTACTACTTCCACTCACTTGCTATAAAAAAAATGATTTTCAGTATTTTGAAATCATAAGGTATTATAATGATATTTTGTCCTTGCTAGATACAAGAAGAGGTTGAAACTGGTTGAAAGGCAAGTGTTTGACACATAAAACCTGTCATATTCGCTTTCAGATAATCACAATCAGTGATTTTACGACTCGTGAGCGCTCACTCTGAGTGAACGCTCACGAATCATAAAGTTGCTTGTTGTGACACTCTGAAAGCAAAAGTAACAAATTTCATGTGTCAAACACATACTTTACAACATCTCCCTAATAAAAATTGTATGGTTAATTTGCTTAACGACGTGTTCTGGGTATCATCCAAACCATTTGTGGAATAGTTCAATGATTTGGGTTATCGTTCGTTTATGGTTATTTTTTATTAGGGCTTCTTTTAGCTTACAAGTACAAGTAACAAATGATTTCATAATTCCGAATAACATTTTTTTAAAGCAAGTGAGTGGAAACAACCCTGGTGAAAAAATTGTGTCACTTTATGGGTGACAAGCTAGGGGAAGGACGGCTCCAAGTATCAGCATCAATACCGATGGTGGAAATATTAAATATTTTAATATGTGTGATATTTGCGAATCTTACACCTAGTCTGACAGTTGTTTTTTTTTGTTTGGCTATTTTTGGTTTAAAGTGTACATTTGACATTCGTTTCATCAAAAAATGGATTTCACACGAGAGTCAAGTCATTCCTTGATGATCTTGCTGGCCAGGGCCACCAAAAACCACTCCTTGTTCTGATAAATTTGGCATTCTTTGGTAGCTGATCTCAGTGCACATAATCTGGGGCACTTCCGTTCCCAGGAAATAATCATTAATTTTCACGAGTTCTTCATCGTCTGCAATCCAATGTTCAGTCCTCCGATGGAACGGGAATGGACTGACTACGGTGCCCCTGTAAACGGAGTCCCATAGTGATGGTTCCGTGGTCGTAATACATTCGCCATGAGCCTGCAATTTGGAGAGATTTGCTGCTGGAGGAACTTGCCTAGTCGAGTGCCGTTTTTATCATCAAAAAAGCCGAAGGCGAAAGAGATCAGAGCTATCGAAAACAAAAATCTAGGCAAACATGATGAAACAGAAAGCTGCAGGTAACATAAACAACAACGGTGAAACGTCATTGAGTGTATGCGTTAAAGCTACACTGTTATTTTTTTTTTACTTTGTAGCTTTCCACTTGACAATTAATATCATTAATATTTATACTAAAAACTATAATAACTACCAATATGAGCAATTTCTACACCAAATATTACTTCATATCAAGTTGTACTCCCCCTAGGTGACAAGGTTGTGGGAAGGGGAGAGGGAGTGCTGTTTTAGAGCAAATTGTTAACAAACTCGGTCGCTGTCCCATTCAAAAATCCAACATGGCTGAAACGAGGGCTGAATCATGAATTCGACACATTAGAACACCTATACCCTCGCCTATACCTATGTAGTCTCCTTGAGTTTACCGTTTCTACTGAATTTTCAGCGTTATTATTCACTGACTACGGTAAAAATAGTATTGCAAAATGTATTGTTTCTAAGCAGCTAAAATAATAATTTGCAGAACTTCAACTTCGATTTTCTCAAAATGGAGGATATGTTACATTGGTCCTTTTGAAAAGTCACGTGGGAATCTGTTGTACACAGCAAAAAAAAACATGTAATCAAGAGCAAATTTTCATTACGTTGAAAGTAACAAAGGTAAACAAAGTCGAGCTATCAGTGTCAATCGATTCTCCTGCTATTACACTATATGCTGTCCGAATATAGGATCACATCCCATTTTTAAATTTATTTGCCAGTCAAATTGCTTTTTGACGTAATCACCTTCCGATCAAAATAGTTTTCGATGTTACTTAAGTCACCCGATTTCTATGGAGATGCCGTTTGCCTTAAGTAACAGCACTGAGAAACCCATGAAAAGTGTACTTTCGTCGTTTCGCTTTCTCATTATTAAAGTGAATAAATCGAACTGTTTGTTGCTAAGATGATTTCGGTGGTCCTAAAATGATGAATTAGTTGCACGTAAGGAGACGTAATTGATAATTCTCCCGAATATCCTGGTAAATACACTTTGACTTAAGTAACAATAGGGGCCACCAAACGACGTATAATAACTTTTGACTCAAAAACCAGTATTTCTTAGCATGAAAGCTAGCGATTTGCCTTTGTATGATTAAAACCCGGCTAAATATGTTAAACATTGCTATCACTATGAGATTATATGTGTTTAATTGGAAATAGGAATAACTTTTCGGTGAAAGCATGTTTAGTCACAAATCGTGGATTTTCTGATATTCTCCATACTGCAAAAAAGATTTTCCTACCACTGAAGGGGCGACATCTCTCGGATCTTCAGTATAGCTACTACTCACATCATATAATTAATTCAAGCTGATGTATGAAATAATGATGTAATAGCAAAAAGCAGATACAATATTACATCAATGGATGTAATTTTGTTCGCAAAATCGATGTACATCGTACAATGTGATATTACACAACCGATGGATTGACCTGGTTGCAGCCGTTTCGATGTAATATTCAACAACTTTTTTTGCTGTGTATGTTATGTTGACTTCCCATTTAGTGCGTATTAGAAATACTCAGAGGGAGAGATAGGCGGAGAAAAAAAAATACAATTCGGCAGCAGGGATTTGTTCCTAAATTATCTTGCAACCCTTGCTAGAAGCTAGTATTTCAAATGACTTGTATTTTTGATTCGATGTACTTGCAAAGTAATAATTGATTGCATTGCAATATTTTGCACATTTCTTGGTGCCATTAATTAACCAACGAAGATCAATTAATCAATAGAGTTAGAATATTGTTTTTGATTCTAAAAACTAGTTGAAATTGCGAAGCACACAAAACATACACACTTAATCTAGCTTGGTAAAATCTCCAACAGCCGATTACCTCGGCATTTACTCTGCAAAATATCTGTTTGTTAGCTGATATCTCAGCAAAATGTTATTTGTTAGCTGAGTCTCGGCAATTGTTTTACTGAACCTCAGCGATATAAATTGCAGAACTGTTCGGCTGTTGGAATCTTGGCGAAAAAATTTAAGTGTGTAGAGGTGATTGAATTTCTGTTCGATTGCAATACTCTCAAATTTAGTCTAGTAAGAATAAGAAATCCTCGGGAAAATTCTGATTGGAATGTTCGATTGGCTCAGATTTTGACAGTTCATTTGGCTCAAAACATTCCCTCCGCCCATCTCTCCCTCTGAGCATTTCTACACACAAAAAATTATCGTTAGTACAACTGAAAAAACCATTGGTAGAATTAAAAGTTTTCGTTGGTTCTTTTTGGTAGAAAGTCTTTAGCTTTCAAAACAAAAGTCAGCTAACTGTCAATTCAAAAGTTGCGTGCATGCTACTTTTAAAAGTTGAAACTTTCAAAACGAATTGTAGTTCTGTCAAATGAAAAGCATGATAGTGTTATAATTAAAAGTGGATTATTTTTGTATTGAATCAAACTTTTGTCATGAAAGTTTGGTATAGTTGAAATAACATGTGCCGTTTTGAATCTATAACATAAGTATTTTCAATTTAAATTCAAGCATTTTCAACATTACAATATCAATTTTGATTTTAATTTTTTATAAGCATTATTTCTATTAATTATTTTTTTATGAATTATGAGGTTACTCAAATATATTTATTAATATCCACAAGAATATACGTATTGTAAAATATAACAAATATTATCCATAGGCTCTCAGCGAGTATAAAATCGTTGTAATTGTTCTGCTTTATCACAAAAGTTGGATCACCGACGAGGTTGGATGGAATCCGGAACCCAGATGGATTTTTTCCGCCGATTATTGATTCGGACCTATTGATGACAACGGTAGATTTCATCGTCTGGAAATAAAATAAAGTTTACTTGATGCAATAATATTGATAATTAAATACTTACAATTTTAACTGTTGATGTCACCGTGTGCGAACTACATATCCGGCAAAACCAGCAATCCGGCAAGTAAGAATATTGCCTTGAATATCTAACGAATTTAATTTATGCTTCTAGTTTCGTTCCACACAAAGAACATGATTTGCAAATTTTGACGTCAAGGTTAAAATTAGCGGCAAATCTATGTCCAGTGCTGCCAAAAACGTTGCTATGACAAGGTGTTTTTGACAGTTAAACAGTTTTCATTTTAAAAATATGCACTTTTAAAAATACAAGTTGAAAATGAAAAATAAACTTTCAAAACAAATCAAATACTTTCATTTTGAGAATTTTCGTGCTTAAAACTATCAGAGTCGGGAAACTTTTATTTTGAAAATGTATGGTTTTTATTGATACAATTTTTGTTTTTTGTGTGTAGTGCGTATCAGTAAAACAACCCTTCAATAAGGGAAAAACGGGACGAACAATTCTGTATAAAGTGAGAATAAAACGTGGTTTAAGAAAGGGTTTAAGGTTAAATTCGGTGTTTTATTGAACAGTAACAGTGGACAAAAAAAGTGTGGATTACCCGCATAAACGCGAACCATAAATTGACCTTACCGATAATGGTTATAAATTGTTTATAATCCCTCCTTAACTTTAACTGAAATGGTTTTGGAACCTTATATGAACCTTATAACCTTTTAACCTTATGTATTATGGTTTTTAGGAAGCGGACCTTACAAATAATGGGTTGTTAAGAACCATTACCATTTCGGAAAGAGAACTATATTAGAACGTTTTTACTTATGGTTTGAGAACATTAATGGTTATGGTTATGGTAGTCAGTAAGGCCCATGAATGGTTTTGTAACATCGATCAACTTTATGTGGAATATATCGCGAATTGGTTGCCTGTAAATTAATAATTATCAGTTCGCGATATATTCCACGTAAAGTTGAGCGATAATACAAAACGATTAATGGACCTTACTGACTACCATAACCATAATCATTAATGTTCTCAAACCATAAGTAAAAACGTTCTAATATAGTTCTCTTTCCGAAAATGTATGGAGAAAACAAGAATTTGGAATGGTAATGTTTCTTAACGACCCATTATTTGTAATGTCCGCTTCCTAAAAACCATAATAAATAAGGTTAAAACTTTATCACACAAACGTTCATGTAAGGTTCCAAAACCATTTCAGTTAAAGTTTAGGAGGGATTATAAACAATTTATAACCATTATCGGTAAGGTCAAGTGATGGTTTGCGGGGTTTGCGTTTATGCGGGTAATTGAACTTTTTAAATGGTGCTGTAAAACGAAAAATCAGTAGAAGAAGATGAACAATACAATTATTGTTTGCACAAGAGTCTAAAGAGGTGCAAAATAAGCGATACGCGGCAATACTCTTTTTACAATGGAGATACATTTCGCTATAAAAAATAATCGCTTAACATTTCTTTTCACCTCGGTTATTCACTTAATTCGACCATCGCAGAGAAACCCATTTACTACTTTTTTGCTCGGGGTTTCTCTCGCTCTCGCAAGTTTGACAAACCTGTCATCTCCTTCTGAAACCCGTGCGGTGTGTTTACAAAATTATTGTCCTCGAGCTTGCGGTGGCGAAAACCTTTCGGGAGCTGGAATTTCAACCAGAGAATAGACGGATTCCGCATGTCGTTCCGACCTGAAGTCGATTCCTAATCCATTCGCAGAATAGTCGTACGGTTTCCCGGACCGATAGGTTTGATATTTTCCTTTCATTTGCCCGTTTACTGCCAGTAGTGTTGGAAAACAAAATCGCGAAGCATGGAGCGAAATCACCGGGAAGATCAGTGCAACGAAATCGAAGCGCTGGACTCGATCTACTGTGGCGAACTGGAGGTTCTGCAGTCGGAACCGCTGCATCGGTTCAAGCTACCCATTGCCACCACCGAGTACGATCAGGAGATCGAGACGGAAGGATTGTCGTGTAAGCTGGTGTTTTCCTATACGGGGAAGTATCCGGACACGGCACCCCTGGTGGAGATTGAAGATTCGGAAAACTTTCGTGACGGATACGAGGAAGGCCTTTTGGAGCACATTCAGGAAACGGTAAGTTTCTCCTATTACATTGGATATTATTAGTTTGTTGCATTTTTCGGGGTCTTTCAGATTCAGGAAAACCTCGGCATCGAGATGATATTCTCGCTGGTCAGTTCAGCTCAGGAGTGGCTTAACTGCAAGTACGATGAACTGAAGAACGAAGCGGAGAACGAAAAACTGGAAGCGAAACGACTTTTGGACGAGGAGGAACGGAAAAAGTTCGAAGGTACCCGTGTCACTGTGGAATCGTTCATGGTGTGGAAAACCAACTTCGAACGGGACACGGGCATCACGGAAAAGAAGGAAAAGTTTCTGGGCCAAACACCGAAGCTTACCGGTAAGGAGCTGTTCCTGCTGGATAACACCCTCAACGAGTCGGATCTCAAGTTCCTCATCGATGCCGGCGAACCGATCGAGAATGTGCGGATCGATGAGTCCCTGTTCCAGAACATTGAAGACCTCGAGCTGGACTCGGACGATGACGACGACGACGATGAGGATTACGTGCCAGAGGAGAAGTAAATCAGGGATCAACAAGCGGAAGTCGGTCGGCGTGGAATCGTTATTTGCTGTTTTTAAAATCTTTACTTGCTTATAGGACCTAAACAATTTGCGGAAATGATTATTATTTATCGAAATAAGAACCGATGGATGTCGGAGAAAGTGTGTCAGGTTTAAGGCGTTTTGATTGAGAAAGTTCCTGGATCTCATTAATAGAGATTAGTCTAGAAGACTAATAGGTTATTGCCGAATGATGCAAACTATCCATAAACGCATAACAGTCCCATTTGAAATGGAAGTCAAGCAAAGATGTGACTGATGTGCGTCTTTGTCACTGTCCCTAATTGTAGGGTTGTGTTTATTTATTTTTGTTTATTTGTTATGGTTGCATCAACAGACTAGAAATAGTCCCAATGATGTGTTATAAAAAAAGTACAGATTATACAGACGACATACATATACTACAGTTACTACAGTTACAAACGAAAATAACTTGGAAAGCATTGTCAAGTTACTAAAAGTTTATAAGTCTTAAATTTTACACTTAGCTGTTGGGTATCAAGCGCCTTCGGTCAGCAAAAAGGCAGAGAATCTTCGGCGAAGCATATTCCGTGTCAAGTGGAAATCGAACATCGACGCTACTCGGTTGAACACTAGCTGCAAGGCGTAAATAGCGCTCCCTATGCTATAATTAGTTCGAAGAAGTGGAAGTCTCAGCATAAGACTGTTGTGTAGTGATCGAGGTTGAACATTAATGTTCACTTGTTGCAGAATTGCTTCGCAGTCAATTCTTCCTTGCAGAGTATCGGCGACGGTTAAGGCTCTGAAAACATCTCTTCGGATACGTAAGGGCTCGATATTGATCAATTGGCAGCGATTCTCGTAGCTTGGAAGACGAAGTGGGTATCTCCAAGGCAGCTTACGGAGCGCGAAGCGAAGAAAACGTCGTTGAACAGATTTAATTCGCTCGGCCCCATTATTGTAGTTCGGGCTCCAGACAGCAGAGCAGTATTCCAACGTAGATCGTATGAGAGAGCAATAGAGCGATTTCAAGCAGTAAATGTCCGTGAAGTTCTTAGTAATCTTGAAGACAAAGCCAAGCGTTCTGGACGCTTTGTCGACGACATACGATATATGGTGTGAGTATGTCAGCTTTGAGTCTAGAACAACGCCTAAGTCTTTAACGCAGTGCACCCGTTCGATAGTCGTGCCTAGTAGTTTGTAGTTGAAAATAATCGGTTGTTTCTTGCGTGAGAAAGTAATAACTGTACACTTAGCTGGGTTGACCACCAGTCGGTTTAGACTACACCAGTCAGCAAAGATGTCAATCTGATTTTGGAGAGAACGGCAGTCGGCGAGTGAGCGGATGCGCAGAAAAACTTTCAGATCGTCTGCAAACGATAATCGTGGCTCTGTGATAACATGGTGAACGTCGTCGAAGTAGAGGAGAAATACCAATGGTCCCAGATGGCTGCCCTGAGGTATACCGGACTTTGCGCAGAAGCTTGTTGAGCGACAAGTACCCAAAGTTACTGTCAATTGGCGCTCCGTGAGGTATGAACGAAACCATCTCAAAAGATTTCCACCGATCCCTAGCCTATCAAGCTTAGCGATCGCAATTTCGTGGTTCAGCTTATCGAAGGCTGCCGTAAGATCTGTGTAGATAACGTCCGTTTGGGTCCGAGCAATCAAACTGTCTGTGATGTAAGACGTTAGGCACAGCAGGTTCGTAGTTGTGGAACGCCCAGTTATGAATCCGTGTTGATCTGTACTTAGATATTGCCTGCAATGCGCATTTAGGGACTCTATGACAACCAATTCAAAAAGTTTTGATACAGCACTCAGCGACGTGATTCCCCGGTAGTTGTTTACGTCGCGTTTGCTTCCCTTTTTATGAACAGGAAACATATCCGCAGTCTTCCAGCAAGACGGAAAGATGCCGCTGGAAAGAGAGAGCTGGAATATGCGGAGCAGTGGATCTAAAAGACAAGTGATGTTCTTTTTAAGAATAATCGACGGAACACCATCGGGTCCAGCCTTAGTTGAAGTCTTAAGTTTAGATGCTGCTCTAGAAATCGTATCTGTAGTGGCTTCGACCATGCTGAGCGTTTGGTTGATCAAAGGAACATTACTGGCCGCGGAAGTAATGATATTAGCGGAGAGTTGCTCGGCTTCAAACACACTAGCAAATTTGGCTGAGAACAGGTGTCACCAAATCTCAACAGCAAACAACTTTTTGGTAGTGTTAGCTTTAAGCTAGAAATTCAAATCGATTTTATTATTACAAATAAACACTTTAGATTAAGTTTACTTACAATTTTAGTGTAGGAATTGTCAAACTGGAGAAATCTTATCGTGAATCCACGTTTCTAGGTTAGCTGTAAATATTAGTTCGTAATATATTTTTAAAGTTCAAAGAGTTTTAGTTTAGCTACTTACGTTAGCCGTTAGTAGAACTCCACTCGCTGTTCGCACTAACGCTTGGTGAACTCTGCTTCTTTGATGACTTTCTCCACCCGTGCACGGATCCATTGGTTTCGCCCAGTCCCATTCATCACAAGGACTAGATCTCCCACTTCTAGCTCCTTGACTTCCTCGAACCACTTGCATCGACGGGTTATCACCGGCAGGTACTCCCTTATCCACCTCTTCCAAAACTCCCCGGTGATGAACTGGGCTAGTTTCCAGCTACTACGGAGTGCTGCATGGCCACTGACGTCGGTTACTGGTTGGATTTTGTTACCCGTTGAACTGCCCAACAGAAAGTGGTTGGGGTCAACGAATCTTGATTCGCAGACTCCAGTGGGATATACGTCAGCGGTCGGGAGTTGACCAATGCTTCTGCTTCGTAGATGATGGTTTTCAGAGTCTCATCATCGGGTTTTCGAAGCGTGTCCAGAGCTGAACCAACTGCTGTCTTCACTGACCTGACGAGGCGCTCCCACACTCCACCCAAGTGCGGAGCTGCGGGGGGAATGAACTTCCAATCAGTTTCCGCATTTGTGAAGGTGGTTGCTATGGTCTCGTGGCTGGCCGCAATCTCCTCCTGAAGCTGTCTGTTGGCTCCTTGGAAGCAAGTGACATTATCGGAGTAGAAGGGCCTTATTACAGGTGTCACTACACGGTGATAAGGAAGTGATACTCAGAATAAGAGTCGTGATTGCCGTACAAATCAAATGGGAATCATTTCACCGTGACGACAAGTGACAAGTGTTCACCGTGAAGTGACATCCGTAATAAGCCCCGAACTCTGCCGGTGACCAACGACGACTTATGAACCTCCGTACGGCCATAACACATGACTCCGCAGACAAGCTATGTACTACCTCCATGTGTACAGCGCGAATTGTGAGACACGTAAATAGTGGGATCCAGCGTTTCACCTGACTGCGGCCCACCTTGACTAGCACCGGTCCAAAATAATCTACCCCGGCGTACGTGAATAGGCAATAGGCGTACAAAGGGTTGCAACCTTTGTTCGGGAAGAGGTGCCATTACTGGTGCTTTTGGGATGGTTTTGTAGATCTTGCAAAACACGCAGTTCTTTGCAACCTTTTGAACGAGGGATCTAAGTTTGGCCACCTCGAAGCGCTGTCGCATTTCGTTCACCACTGTCTCGCGGTTGGCATGACGAAATCGACGGTGTTGCCAACCCGTAATGAGATATGTCACAGGATGACACTTTGGGAGAATAGCAGGATACTTTGCTTCGAAAGGCACATATGTTGCGGCTCCGATACGACCACGCATTCGAAGAATTCCTTGCTCATCCATGAAGGGCCAGGTTTTGTAGATGGAGCTCGACTTGGACACGGTAGTGTGGCGATTCTCTGGAGTACCTCGAGTTTCCTCTAATATGGTTGTCTCTTCTGGAAAAGCATCCGCTTGTGCCATCTTCAATAGTAGCATTTCCGCCCTAGCTAGTTCTCCCTGGCTGAGTACCTTTAACTGTAGATGCTGTCCGATGTTCTTTCGCCGCGAGCTGTCGATGAAGCGGATCACGAATGCCATCGTTCGCTGCAGCTTCGTCCACCGGTTGAACCGGGAAAAATCCATCGGTGGCGTACTTCTTCGTGGGTCGTAACTGCTGGAGGCTGTTCCGGCCAAGATTCCTCCCCGTAGCGTAGAAACTCGGGTCCTTGCAACCAGGCACTGTTGGATCCTAGATTCGGCCCGTTCTTCCATTTTGTGGCGACATCCGATACGTTTTTCTTCGATGGGACCCACTTCCAGTCCTGTGGATCACTCAGAGTTAGAATTGCTCCGATTTGAACCGACACAAACTTGTGGAAACGCCGGTGGTCAGATCGAATCCACGCCAACACCGTAGTAGAGTCACTCCAGAAAAAGCGTTGAGAGACCGGAAACGTGTGGTACCCTAGAACCGAAGCCAAGAAACGAACTCCCAACACTGCTGCATTCAGTTCGAGCCGTGGGATTGAGAGCGTCTTCAGAGGAGCTACTTTGCTTTTTGCTCCCACAAGTACCAGCTGAACCCTGCCATTATGCACCAATCGAAAGTATATGGCACATGAGTACGCTGTATCGCTGGTGTCCACGAATGCACGTACTTGCAGACCTTCAAGGGTATCCGGGAATGTTGAGAAATAGCACCGTGGGATTTTTAAATTATCCAGCATCGGAAAAAGATCCACCCACTGGCGCCATCTTTGGTAGAGGTCCTCGTTTATTGGTTCATCCCAGCCCGTTCCTGATGCCCATGTTCCTTGGATGAGGATTTTTCCGTGAACGAGAAAGTGGGAAATAAGCCCCAGTGGATCGAAGAGGCTCATAACAACCTTCAACACTTCTCGCTTGGTGGAAACGTGTGTTACATCCACGATAGTACGAAGATCTTCTCGTAGATTTACCGTGTAAGTGAAACAATCTTCCTTAGGGAGCCACTTCATCCCAAGTACAGATTCAGAAGTGCCTTCTCTTTCTAGCATCAGATTCTTCGGTTCATCGGCAGAAAGTTGTCCTATCTCACGAAGAAGTTGAATTGAGTTCGAGCGGAATTTGCGGATGTCGAAGTCTCCCTTTGCGTGAACCACTATTACCTCTTTGACGACCTCCGCAGCTTCTTCGACGGTCATGAAGCTGTCATCATCCACGTAATGGTTTTTGACTATGGCAGCGGTCGCACGTGGATAGAGTTCGGCAAATTCCTGTGCATTGAGGTTTTTGACGTATTG